AAAGCCATTGCTTAAAGAAAAAAATAAGCAAACACGGTTGGTGTTCGCCAAAAGGCATGTGGGAGACTCCCCAAACATATGGAAGAAGGTACTCTGGTCAGATGAGACTAAAATTGAGCTTTTTGGCCATCAAGGAAAACGCTATGTCTGGCGCAAACCCAACACCTCTCCTCACACCGAGAACACCATCCTCACAGTGAAGCATGGTTGTGGCAGCATCATGCTGTGGGGATGTTTTTCATTGGCAGGGACTGGGAAACTGGTATGATGGATGGCGCTAAATACAGGGAAATTCTTGAGGGAAACCTGTTTCAGTCTTCCAGAGATTTGAGACTGGGACGGAGGTTCACATTCCAGCAGGACAATGACCCTAAGCATACTGCTAATGCAACACTCGAGTGGTTTAAGGGGAAACATTTAAATGTCTTGGAATGGTCTAGTTAAAGCCCAGACCTCAATCCAATTGAGAATCTGTGGTATGATTTAAAGATTGCTGTACACCAGCGGAATCCATCCAACTTGAAGGAGCTGGAGCAGTTTTGCCTTGAAGAATGGGCAAATATCCCAGTGGCTAGATGTGCCAAGCTTATAGAGACATACCCCAAGAAACTTGCAGCTGTAATTGCTGCAAAAGGTGGCTCTACAAAGTATTGACTTTGGGCACGCTCACGATTTCAGTTTTTTTGTGTTATTTCTTGTGAAAAAATTTTTTGCATCTTCAAAGTGGTAGGCATGTTGTGTAAATCAAATGATACAACCCCCCCCCAAAATCAATTTGAATTCCAGGTTGTAAGCAACAAAATAGGAAAAATGCCAAGGGGGGTGAATACTTTCGCAAGCCACTGTATACTATGCAATCGTGGGTTTATAACTATGTTTTATTTGAGTATGACACTAAGACAGTTGCCAGCTTACACTACTGTGCAACCTAGTTTCAACTGTTGCTGGCCTACCCTGTCTGTAATCATTCAAGCAAACCTCAGGTAGGCTACAGAAGTCCTTCAATGTGTATCGGTTAATCAGTCATGACACGAGAGACGTGTAGTTTATTGAGTTGGTAAGGAGAAAAAAACAGGCTGAAGACAACGTATAGCATAACCATTAGTTAAAACAGATGAATCATGGATAGCGAAATGAATGAATTACAGCGAGTGTTTGACATGCTTTAGTCTGACAACTCCTCAGTTCTCTTTCATCAAGCTGCAAGAAAATAAATGTTTACCTGTTGCACAGTTGTCGGCTACAAAAGCTATGTTGTACATTTGATACCGAAAAGTTGTTAATTATTATTTCATGAATATTCTAGCACCAGCTACTCCTTGTCATGCAGCCCTATCAGTCTTAGGGCTGGATTCAGAAGATGTCTGAAGGGTCCTGTTGATTATAGAGGTGAGACTTTGACCCTGTCTGTTAATGATAGTATAGAAGGTGTCTGAAGGGTCCTGTTGGTTATAGAGGTGAGACTTTGACCCTGTCTGTTAATGATAGTATAGAAGATGTCTGAAGGGTCCTGTTGATTATAGAGGTGAGACTTTGACCCTGTCTGTTAATGATAGTATAGAAGGTGTCTGAAGGGTCCTGTTGGTTATAGAGGTGAGACTTTGACCCTGTCTGTTAATGATAGTATAGAAGGTGTCTGTAGGATCCTTGTGGAGATCAAGTTGAGCTGCTATTTTGACATCAACAAGAGGTCAAAGGTAAGGGAGACATGATCCTTATCATATGTCTGACAATGCAAATGATCTTGGATCATGTTTGTAGCTCATATGGAGAAGTTGGTTACTGTGTTTGGGTCAGACAGAACATGGCCACTGTGCTGCTGGGTCAGACAGAACATGGCCACTGTGCTGCTGGTTCAGACAGAACATGGCCACTGTGCTGCTGGGTGAGACAGAACATGGCCACTGTGTGCTGGGTCAGACAGAAACATGGCCACTGTGCTGCTGGGTGAGACAGAACATGGCCACTGTGCTGCTGGGTGAGACAGAACATGGCCACTGTGCTGCTGGTTCAGACAGAACATGGCCACTGTGCTGCTGGGTCAGACAGAACATGGCCACTGTGCTGCTGGGTGAGACAGAACATGGCCACTGTGCTGCTGGGTCTGACAGAACATGGCCACTGTGCTGCTGGGTCAGACAGAACATGGCCACTGTGCTGCTGGGTCAGACAGAACATGGCCACTGTGCTGCTGGGTGAGACAGAACATGGCCACTGTGCTGCTGGGTGAGACAGAACATGGCCACTGTGCTGCTGGGTTTCAGACAGAACATGGCCACTGTGCTGCGGGGTTCAGCAGAAACATGGCCACTGTGCTGCTGGGTAGAGACACAGAACATGGCCACTGTGCTGCTGGGTGGGGACAGAACATGGCCACTGTGCTTGGGTGAGACAGAACATGGCCACTGTGCTGCTGGGTGAGACAGAACATGGCCACTGTGCTGCTGGGTCAGACAGAACATGGCCACTGTGCTGCTGGGTGAGACAGAACATGGCCACTGTGCTGCTGGGTCATGTAATATATTAATGTGTTTTTTAGTGGAGATATGTGGTGTGTTAATGGTGGTACACACGTTCCCCGGCGGTCTGTTTTCATGCCCCCACAGGCTCTTCACACCACATTAAACAAGCTGGCCATGCTCCTCACACACAGACATTCACCTTGCCTGTGCCTCCACCAGTACTGGGACTGGGGCCTAATAGGTAGGTAGATATGACGGGTCTGTTTATAAAGACTGGGGCTGCTCTCTGCACTAGGATCACTGAACCACTGAGTATCGAGCGCTCTCTCTATCTCTCTAACACACACACACAAATAAAACACACACAACAAAAAAACACACACCACACACACACCACACACACAACACACACACACACACACAAACACACACATACACACACACACAAACTCACGCACACAAACCCACGCACACACACACACACAAACACACACACACACAAACACACACACAAACACACACACACACACACACAAACACACACACACACAAACACACACACACACACACACACACACACACACAAACACACACACACACACACACACACACAAATACACACACACCCAGTCTCCCCTTTGTCTTCTTCCTCTCCCACTGACTCATTTTCTATATCCCTCTTCCTTTCTCTCTCCAGTCCGTTTGTCATGTCTGGTGTCAGTGAGAAACAAGCTGATTCAGCCTGGGATGATCCAGATTTAAATGTGGTTGTCCCCGAAGAAGGATACAGACGTATGTTCTCTTGTGTCCACTGGTCCCTTTCCTTGACAGCAGTAGTGTTCTCTTGTGTCCACTGGTCCCTTTCCTTGACAGTAGTAGTGTTCTCTTGTGTCCTCCGGTCCCTTTCCTTGACAGCAGTAGTGTCTTCTTGTGTCCTCCGGTCCCTTTCCTTGACAGTAGTAGTGTCCTCTTGTGTCCTCCGGTCCCTTTCCTTGACAGCAGTAGTGTCCTCTTGTGTCCTCCGGTCCCTTTCCTTGACAGCAGTAGTGTCCTCTTGTGTCCTCCTTTCCCTTTGCAGCTCCTTCAGGGTTATCTTTGGTCTCTTTGTTTCCTCTCTGATAAATGCCCTCCTTGCCTGGTCCGTGAGTTTTGGTGGGCGGCCCTCTCTTGGCAGGTTTGTTGTGGTGCCATATTCTTAAATTTTTTAAAATAATGGATTTAATGGTGCTCCGTGGGATGTTCAAAGTTTCAGATATTTTTTTATAAACCAACCCTGATCTGTAGTTCTCCACAACTTTGTCCCTGACCTGTTTGGAGAGCTCCTTGGTCTTCATGGTGCCGCTTGCTTGGTGGTGCCCCTTGCACACAGGTGGACTTTATTTAACTAAATATGTGACTTCTGAAGGTAATTGGTTGCACCAGATCTTATTTAGGGGCTTCATACTGTATCAAAGGGGGTGAATACATATTTAAGCACCACTTTTTCGTTATTTATTTTTTAGAATTTTTTGAAATAAGTTTTTTTTTCATTTCACTTCACCAATTTGGACTGTTTTGTGTATGTCCATTACATGAAATCCAAATAAAAATCAATTTAAATTACAGGTTGTAATGCAACAAAATAGGAAAATGCCAAGGGTGATGAAAACATTTGCAAGGCGCTGTATTTCCTGTATGCTCTGACAGAGACCACAGACACCATAGTTCCAGAATGTCCCAATATTCCACTGGTGGAGAGAGTCGACTGTTTCCCTGACGCTGGTTCTTCTAAGGTAAGTTTCTATGGAGACCTGGGTCCTCTACTCCAGGCCTAAACACATCTCATCATGCCTAGAGGATTTACTTTCACATCATTACTTAAGAGAGTGGAGATATCAGGAGTACCGAACCCTCCTCCTGGAGAGCCACCCTCCTGCAGGTTTTACATCAAACCCTAATCTAGCATGTCTCGTTATACTTAGTAGCTACCCAGCAGGACCCTGATTAGCTCAATTAGGACTGTTACAACTGGGTTGGAGCAAAAACCTGCATATCCAGTAGATTTCAAGGAGGAAGGTTGGCCAACCATTGCATATGTAATAAATGCTGCTGATGATGGTGATGATGATGATGATGATGATGCTGATGCTGCTGCTGATGATGATGATGATTCCCTTCATACCCTAGCTGGGGTGTCAGCAGCGAGGCTGTTGTTGGAGCCCATTGGACGAGAGAAACGCTCCATGGTGCTTCTTCGTCCATTAATGACGGCTAACCCTGTGGTCAGCGAGGAGCGATCCAACAGCTACAATGAGCTCTACCTCCAACTTCCTCCCCCTCCCCCGTTTTTCTTCCGTTCCCCTAAGGCATGATTTCTCTCAATATAACACGTACAGCATATTGCTAAACATGATAGACAGAATAACCGTTTTTCCATTTCCCTACTCGATATCACTACCTTATTCACAGTCAGTCCTAATAATTCAAAACATAGCATGCCCTATACTAGAAATTGCTCTTGAATTTGTCAACATAGATATCTGCTTAAAAATAATAATAATGTACCTTGGTGCTTGTGATTGGAGGCTTGTCGGCCCGTCTGAAGAGGAAGGTTGCCCCTCTCTGTTTGTTGAAGACATAGAGGACCTGTCTTTCCATGCTGACATGCAGACAGTGAACCGACTCAAATTCATGGTACACAAACACAAACACACACACACTCACACACAGCACACACTGTGACACCAACCAACAATAAAACACCAAAAAAGTCCTCCTGAATCCTGTCCCTGTGTTTTGTCCCCAGATCTCAGATGCCCATAAGCAGTGATTTGAGGTTCCCTATGAGCACGCCAAGCCCCCTATCACCCATACCTCTGGCTCCCTTAACTACAAGGTAGAGCTCACACACAACCCCTTCGGCCTCCGAGTACGCAGGGCAGCTACCAACAAAGTCCTGTGAGTTTATGTGTGTTTCTGTCTGATTGTGTCTTTCTGTCGGTCTCAAAAATTATTTGTCACATCCGTCAGTCTATCTGCTGCAGTCCAACCTTGGTACTAATTCTCTTAGCGAAATACAAGAGAAAATAGCAGCCTATACATCTGGTTACAGCATCACATGTTAGACTTGATCCTCTTACAGGTGCTGTAGACAATGCAGTCACTTCATTAATATGTGTTATTCTGTCAGGACGCCAAAGACACGCACACACACACACGTGGCGGTCAGTGCCGTTTAAGATGAGGGAGGATTATTAATTTTTTTATGAGCATGGAGTGACATTCAATACCGCCTTGCACACTCTTGCCTGCATCCAGCTGATATAGGGTGTAATCATTAGTCCAACAGTTGCAAACGAGAGTTTCTATACGACAAATTCAAGTACATTTATCCCGTTTTGTTCCGTTTGCTTCCGTTTAAGAAACGTTTTTCAACAGAATCACGCGTAAACAGTATTCACTCTCATAACAGCCGTGTAGAATTCCTTCTCTTCCCTTCGCTTGAGGATTTCAATGCACAACAAATCAGCTGTTTGTGACCAGGCGAAAAAACCTTTCCAAGCCAAACCTCTACAAACAGCCTACATCGTTGTCCCCATATTAGCTAAAGTAACGTCATAGTCAGCATAGCTAATAGAACTAACACGTTAGTAAACCCGCTACAATCATGCAGTAACGTTAGTTCCAGTCAGTAAGCAGTTACACCGGCGGGTGGCAATAAATTAAGTAATACCAAAAGCTTAACTTGACTTGGAAGAGTTCCGGTGTTATGTTGGAAAGTCGTAGCCAGCTAACTAACAGGTTACTGTAGCCCTTCTTTGCAAAATTGTGTGTTTTAATCAGTTATCTGGTGACATGTGATAATATTTAGTATAGTTTTATCTAAAAAGGATAACTTTTCTAATGTTTTACAATTTGTATTTTTATGAATTTCACTGAGGTCCTCCCCTTCCTCCTCTGAGGAGCCTCCACTGATGCACAAACATGTTTTCCATGTTCCATGTCAGTATCCCCTGGCGATCAAGACGGTGTAATTACGCTTGTGTCACTCTGAGCAGGCTCAGTCAGTCTGTGGGACATCACAGTCATTATACCAATCAATTACACCTCCAACCAGCCAACTTTTAAAAAAAACTTTCTACGGTCTCCGTGTAAAAGCATTACACCCCCAACCAGCCAAATAAACCTTTCTACAGTCTCCCTGTAAAACCATTAAAAACATGATTATGACTCCTGTTAAAACCATTAAAACCATGATTATGACTCGAGTTAAAACCATTAAAACCATAATTATGACTCCTGTTAAAACCATCAAAACCATGATTATGACTCCTGTAAAAAACATGATTATTACTACTGTTAAAACCATGATTATGACTCCTGTTAAAATCATTAAAACCATGATTATGACTCCTTAAAAACCATTAAAACCATGATTATGACTCCTATTAAAACCATGATTATGACTCCTGTTAAAGCCATTAAAACCATGATTATGACTCCTGTTAAAACCATGATTATGACTCCTGTTAAAACCATCAAAACCATGATTATGACTCCTGTTAAAACCATTAAAACCATGATTATGTCTCCTGTTAAAACCATTAAAACCATGACTATGACTCCTGTTAAAACCATTAAAACCATGATTATGACTCCTGTTAAAACCATGATTATGACTCCTGTTAAAACCATTAAAACCATGACTATGATTTATTTTCAAACCATTAAAACCATGATTATGGCTCCTGTTAAAACCATTAAAACCATGACTATGACTCCTGTTAAAACCATTAAAACCATGATTATGACTCCTGTTAAAACCATGATTATGACTCCTGTTAAAACCATTAAAACCATGACTATGATTCCTGTTAAAACCATTAAAACCATGAATATGACTCCTGTTAAAACCATTAAAACCATGATTTTGACTCCTGTTAAAACCATGATTATGACTCCTGTTAGAAGCATTAAAATCATGATTATGACTCCTGTTAAAACCATGATTATGATTCCTGTTAAAACCAATTATGACTCCTGTTAAAACCATTAAAACCATGATTATGATTCCTGTTAAAACAAGATTATGACTCCTGTTAAAACTATTAAAACCATGATTATGGCTCCTGTTAAAACCATTAAAACCATGATTATGCCTCCTATTAAAACCATTAAAACCATGATTATGACTCCTGTTAAAACCATTAAAACCATGACTATGATTCCTTTTAAAACCATTAAAACCATGAATATGACTCCTGTTAAAACCATTAAAACCATGATTTTGACTCCTGTTAAAACCATTAAAACCATGATTTTGACTCCTATTAAAACCGTTTAAGCCATGATTATGACTACTATTAAAACCATTAAAACCATGATTATGACTCCTGTTAAAACCATTAAAACCATGATTATGATTCCTGTTAAAACAAGATTATGACTCCTGTTAAAACCATTAAAACCATGATTATGGCTCCTGTTAAAACCATTAAAACCATGGTTATGCCTCCTATTAAAACCATTAAAACCATGGATATCACTCCTGTTAAAACCATGATTATGACTCCTATTAAAATCATTCAAACCATGATTATGACTCCTGTTAAAACCATGATTATGACTCCTGTTAAAAGCATTGGCCTAAATGAATAGGGCTAAATTGAAATGTTTCTTACAGAATAAATATGAAAAGCATATGCGTAACCATGGTAGCAATAGAAAGAGAACAGTTTGGAGATAACGGGGAAATGATTAGACCAAAGTTGAGGACACAACAGTTCACCTGACACAAGACTGAACACAAACATTACACTGTTGATTGTATGTGCATTTTCAGTGGTGTAAAGTACTTAAGTTAAAATACTTTAAAGTATTACTTAAGTCGTTTCTTGGGGTATCTGTACTTTACTATTTAGATTTTTGACAACTTGTACTTTTACTTTAATACATTCCTAAAGAAAATAATGCATTTTTAACCCATACATTTTCCCTGACACCCAAAAGTACTTGTTACATTACAAATGCTTAGCAGGACAGGTCAAGTGTCCAAGTCACGCGCTTCTCTAGAAAACATCCCTGGCCATCCACCCCTCTACAGTCAATAAACACGTTTGGACATTTGGGTATTTGGGATTGCTTGTTTCACGTCAAAGCGGTACGTATTATAATCCTCATCTTTCAAAAAATATGGAGCAATCTTAATTTACAGCATTTTCCTCACTCAGACAACAAAACATTTGCAAAAGTCGCCCAATTAGCGGGAGGGATGGGGGCAATTTCTTGTCTTGTGCGGTGCTCAAGGTCAGAATGTCTCTCAGTCAAAACCCACACTGTGCCAGGAAGCACAGAGCCTGAGTTCTGACGTCATGTATAGCATGTTACGTTACAGCCACTAACGTTCCAATTTATACACTTATTAGGTCCCAAATATGCCATTTTCAACCCGTATACGGGTACGAGTGTAAAGGGCTACAAACATTAAACCACTACTGTTATTGCTGCTGGTAAATAGGACTGAGTGACATGCAAATTAATTAACTTTTCACTCCATGTATAAGCCCTACAAATATGCTTTGTAAAAGCATTAAACTAATATTATTATCTGCTGCTGAAAATAGGACTTAATGAGAAGTGAATTTATTCATTTACATAGTGCATGGTCCTGTGTCTGCTTTTAGTCTATCTGTCAACTATAGAGGCACACATATACAATGTACAGGATGGTACAGAATAGCACCACTTGTTAATGACTGTCCGATTATACCACTTCCTCAGTGACTTAGAGGAAAAAATTGTTATAACCACAGTGACTGTGTGTTTAAAGGGTATGACCTTTTACTTTCCTTTGCCCAATGTGCTTATCAGATATCTGGCATTTGGCTCACAGAGATAGAAAGGGATATTGCTTTATACTGCATGCTATATTGCACATTACTGGGTAATATTTACTACATTACTGGATAATATTTACTACATTATTGGTAACATTTACTATATTACTGGGTAATATTTACTACATTACCTGGTAATATTTACTACATTGCTGGGTAATATTAACTACATTGCTGGGTAATATGTGCTACATAACTGGGTCATATTTACTACATTACTGGGTAATATGTACTACATTATTGGATAATATTTACAACATTACTAGGTAATATTTACTACCTTACTGGGTAATATTTACTACATTTCTGGGTAATATTTACAACATTGCTGGGTAATATGTGCAACAATACTGGGTAATATTTACTACCTTACTGGTTAATATTTACTACATTACTGGGTAACATTTACTACATTAATAGTTAATATGTACTACCTTACTGGGTAATATTTACTACATTGCTGGGTAATATTTACTACATTACTGGGTAATATTTACTACATTACTGGTAATATTTACTACATTACTGGGTAATATTTACTACAATACTGGGTAATATTTACTACCTTACTGGGTAATATTTACTACATTACTGGGTACTATTTACTACATCCTGAGTGGCGCAGTGGTCTAAGGCACTGCATCGCAGTGCTAACTGTGCCACTAGAGATCCTGGTTCGAATCCAGGCTCTGTCGCAGCTGGCCGCGACTGGGAGACTCATGGGCGGCGCACAATTGGCCCAGCGTCATCCAGGGTAGGGGAAGGAATGGCAGGCAGGGAGGTAGCTCAGTTGATAGAGCATGGCGTTTGCAACGCCAGGGTTGTGGGTTCGATTCCCACGGGGGGCCAGTATAAAAAAATATGTATTCACTAACTGTAAGTCGCTCTGGATAAGAGCGTCTGCTAAATGACGTAAATGTAATTACTGGGTAATATTTAATACCTTACTGGGTAATATTTACTACATTACTGGGTAATATGTATTACATTACTGGGTAAATTGCTGGTGTTGAGTCTCATCAATATATGTCCTGGTTTAGATATAGCTCTTCAGATGACATGAGCAGGTACATGTTGAGAGAGAGAGAAAAATCATTGACATGTATTCCTATGATAGTATAAGCTTGCACTCTGACCATATGGAACTTGTGTCATTCTCCACAGTGATAAAGGCTTTAATAACTAACCATACTAAAATCAATTTAACCCTTAGCAATTCCAATCATACCGAATAACTCTCCACTTTTCAACCATTACATTCAACAGTGCCATGTTTAGGTGAGCTGTGGTAGGGTTGTGTTCCTGTTCCTGTCATCCATTAGCCCAATTACAAGGAGTCTAGTCTCTTTAGGTGGACTTCCCCGATGGACAGGGAGTACCAAGGTCATTATACTACACTGTGATTGATTCCTCATCCTACAGTACTTAGTAGGATGAGACCTCTATCTCTGTCAGGGGAGTTCCTGTACATTGATTTAGTTTAGACTGTAGTTCGCCTAATGGTCTTCCTTTCTTTGTCTCAGGATGTTGGCTAATGTTTTTCTCACTGTAATAAAAACATAAAGGTTGTTAAAAGCAAGCTCTGCACAGTGCTTAGTGTGCACAGACACACAACTCAATTCATTATACTGCTCTTTATATACATCTCCCTCTCTCTCTCTCTCTCTCTCTCTCTCTGTCTCTCTCTGTCACTCTCTCTCTCTCCATTTTACTCTCTCACCCGTCTACTATTGAGCAAGGAATCAGAAGGGAAGATATCTCAATGTATGTCTTGTTAGTAATGTCAGTGGGATTCAACTACACAGGCCTCGTTATAGTGTGTTCTGATAGTCTGTCTGCAGGTTCTCCCAGAGGGTTTTTCCTCCATAACAATGGCCTGTCAGCATACTGTACTATACAGTTCATTACATACCCTGTGTGTTGTAATATAACCACTGTCTCTCCTCTTCTCAACACAAAAAACACCCACTCACCTCCCAACAAACCCACCACTCCACAAACACACACACACACACACACACACACACACACACACACACACACACATACACACACACACACACAAACACACACACAGGCTTGACACCACAGTGGATTCACTTGTGTTTACTGATCAGTACCTGCAGCTGTCTGCCAGACTGCCATCCCATAATATATATGGGCTAGGAGAACACGTCCTTCAGAACTATCTTCGTGGCACCAACTGGAGGACCTGGTCTATCTTCACACGAGATGCATTCCCTAATGGGGTGAGTACTGAGTAGGATATACACACACATACTGTAATGCACACAAATACATTGATCGTTCTCCAACATCACACAAGCAGCATGTATTCTATAAGGAGCACAGCTCATATCTGTCAGCTAATGTGCACACGGTGTGTGTGTGTGTGTGTGTAGATTCCATCCCAAAGGTCGGGTAATTTAATGTCTTGTAAGCTAATTAGTTTGTGCCGCCACCCCCTCAGCTTCGATCCATCCATCTGTCTCTCTCTCTCATCCTTTTCTTTCCTTCATCCCCCAGGGGACACAAAACCTCTATGGTCACTATCCCTACCTCCTCTGTCTGGAGGACGAGACTGGCAAGTCCTTCGTAGTCTTCCTCATGAACAGCAACGCAACGGGTTAAAAACACACACACACACACGGGCCTACCGAGCAATCCAAGGCAATGCATCACAGTGCTAGAGGCGTCACTACAGACCCGGGTTTGATCCCAGGCTGTGTCACAAACTACCGTGATCGGGAGTCCCATAGGGAGGCGCACAATTGGCCCAGCGTCGTCCGGGTTAGGGGAGGGTTTGGCCGGGGGGGATTTACTTGGCTCAACGAGCTCTAGCGACACCTTGTGGTGGGCCGGGCGCATGCAGGCTGACCCTGGTTGTCAGGTGAACGTTCTTACCTCTGACACATTGGTGCGGCTGGCTTCTGGGTTAAGCGGGTGGGTGTTAAGAAGCGTTGGGGAGTTGCAGCGATGAGACAAGATCGAAATTGTGGGAGAAAAAAGGAGGTACAAATTTAAATAAATATAAAACACACAATCATACAACAGAAACACATGAAAAGACTTGTCCAGAGATCAGAATATACAGTGACTTCGGAAAGTATTCAGACACCTTGACTTTTTCCATATTTTGTTACGTTACAGCCATATTCTAAAATTTATTAAATATTGTTGTTTTTTTCTCAGCAATTTACATAAAACAGCCCACAATGACAATGCGAAAACAGTTGATTTGAAATTGTTGTAAAAAAAAAATTACAATAAAAAATGAAAAACATTATTTACATAAGTATTCAGACCCTTTGCTATGAGACTTGTTTCCATTGATCATCCTTGAGATGTTTCTACAACTTGATTGGAGTCCACCTGTGGTCAATTCAATTGATTGGACATGATTTGGAAAGGCACACACCTGTCTATATAAGGTCCCACAGTTGACAGTGCATGTCAGAGCAAAGACCAAGCCATGAGGTCGAAGGAATTATCTGTAGAGCTCCGAGATTGGATTGTGGGAAGGGTACCAAACAATTTCTGCAGCATTGAAGGTCCCCAAGAACACAGTGGCCTCCATCATTCTTAAATGGAAGAAGTATGGAACCACCAAGACTCATCCTAGAGCTGGCCGCCTGGCCAAACTGAGCAATCGGGGGAGAAGGGCCTTGGTCAGGAAGGTGACCAAGAACCCGAGCGCTCAGGACCTCAGACTGGGGCGAAGGTTCACCTTCCAACAGGACATCAACCCTAAACATACACCCAAGACAACGCAGGAGTCTCTGAATGTCCTTGAGTGGCTCAGCCAGAAGCCCGGACTTGAACCCGATCGAACATCTCTGGAGAGACCCGAAATAGCTGTGCAGCAACGCTCCACATCACCTGACAGAGCTTGAGAGATCTGCAGAGAAGAATGTGAGATACTCCCGCAAATACAGTGTTCATGCGTGAACGTATACCAAGAAGACTGAGTCTGAGTTCTGAATACTGTGTAAAGTGCTGTTTGCTGTGGAGATTATAAATTTTAGACATGGTTGTATTAACAAAAAACAATGGGGAAAAAACTCTGTTGTACAAATGTGACTTGGTAAAGGGGGGGGGGGGGGGGGGGTGGGCAAGGCAAATTAGTCTGGGTAGCCATTGCGTTGATTAGATGTTTCAGGAGTCCTCATGTCTTGGGAGTAGAAGCTGTTTAGAAGCCTCTTGGACCTAGACTTGGCACTCCGGTACCGCTTGCAGTGTGGTAGCAGAGAGAACAGTCTATGACCAGGGTGGCTGGAGTCTATGACAATTTTTAGGGCCTTCCTCTGACACCGCCTGGTATAGAGGTTCTGGATGGCAGGAAGCTTGGCCCCAGTGATGTACTGGGCCGTACGCACTACCCTCTGTATTTTATTTTTATTTTACCTTTATTTAAGTAAGCAAGTCAGTTAAGAACACATTCTTATTTACAATGACGGCCTACACCGGCCAAACCTGTAGTGTCTTGCGGTCGGAGGCCGAGCAGTTGCCATACCAGGCAGTGAGGCAACCAGTCAGGATGCTCTCGATAGTGCAGCTGTAGAACCTTTTGAGGATCTGAGAAACCATGCAAAATCTTTTCAGTCTCCTGAGGGGGAATAGGTTTTGTAGTGCCCTCTTCACAACTGTCTTGGTGGTCTTGGACCATGATAGTTTGTTAGTGATGTGGACACCAAGGAACTTGAAGCTCTCAATCCACTACAGCCCGTCAATGAGAATGGGGGCGTGCTTGGTCCTCTTCTTTTTCCTGTAGTCCACAATCATCTCCTTTGTCTTGATCATGTTGAGGGAGAGGTTATTGTCCTGGCACCACATCGCCAGGTCTCTGACCTCCTCCCTATAGGCTGTCTCATCGTTGTCAGTGATGAGGCCTACCACTGTTGTGTCATCGGCAAACGTAATGATGGTGTTGGAGTCGTGCCTGGCCTTGCAGTCATGAGTGAACTGGGAGTACAGGAGAGGACTGAGCACACACCCCAGAGGGGCCCCCGTGTTTTTAGGATCAGCGTGGCGGATGTGTTGTTACCTACCCTTTCCACCTGGGGGTAGCCCGTCAGGAAGTCCAGGATCCAGTTGCAGAGGGAGGTGTTTAGTCCCAGGGACCTTAGCTTGGTGATGAGCTTTGAGGGGACTATGGTGTTGAACGCTGAGCCATGGTGTTCCTAAGGCACTGTATCTCATCCCTGTGTGGTTTTGTTTGAGACCCTGTCCAGAGGTGATGCTTCAGCTGGCCCCAGTAGTGACCTACGGAACCATTGGAGGAGTTCTGGACTTCTACATCCTTCTGGGAGACACACCTGAACAGGTGGTACAGTAGTTCCTATAGGTGAGACAGAGAGCGCAGTTGACTTTCACTCTGAAGCTGATCATTTGGAAGTGTGTGGTAAGCATGGATGCTCTGTGATGCAGTGATACAGTGATACATGTGGAATCAGTATATGTGCATGTGTGTTGAGTGTGATGGAAGGAGTCAGGCGCAGGAGGGTAATCACCGAATACAGAGTTTATTCCTTTGTGGACACACAAAGGCGCTTAAATAGCGATCAACGAAACAGGCTCAGGGGAAACTCTCATCCCTGGCAAATACACTGTAACGGTAGAATCCAATAATACATAGGCACAGGGGAATGTCTACCCTGGCAACAAAATGTACGAGTAGCCCCACCGAGCTACACTACTCTCACAAATAACAATCACCCACAAGGACAAGGGGGCAGAGGGAACACTTATACACTGACTAATGAGGGGATTCGAACCAGGTGTGAGTGATTGACAAGACAAGACAAAGGTGATGATGATTGGGGCGGCAGTGGTTAGTAAGCTGGTGACGACGAACGCCGAAGCCTGCCCGAACAAGGAGGGGAGGCAGCCTCGGCCGAAGTCATGACAGCATGTTACATATTTCTTGTGTGTGTGTGTGTCCAGCTGATCGGCAGGCCAGTGATTCCTCCATACTGAGCTCTAGGCTTCCAGTTGTCTCTTCGGGACTATGGCAGTCTGGATGAAGTCAAGACAACCGTACGGTAGAACTACGGTATAACTATTGGTTCTATAGGGACCTAGGTCACACACTAGCTCACCAGACATTTGGGAACCAAGTCATTATGTTAGAGCTAGAAACCATCTAGGAGCTAGAGAAATATTGAAAACCATGAGGTACCAGCAAATCAGAAAGTGAAAATTGTCCTGTATGTCCACCAATAACAAAACGGGAGCAATGGATTAGTAAATTATACCCACCAATCACAAGTAAGGGAAATACTGCTTGGAAGCCAGGAATCATTAGAAATCAGTTCCACACTGAAAGCTATAAGCAAAGGTCCGTAATCCACCTACCACGAGATAGGATTCAGCTGTAGACGAGAGATATGAAGCTCTCTATCAGAGCTGGAAAGGCAGCATGTGTGAGGGAGATGACCTTTTGCTCTCTGGGAGAATCCTGTTCCCTGTCAAATGGGTAGAGTCTGATAGTCTGGTCTCCAGTCCTTCAGGAGTCTCCAGCAAACGGGATAAATATTTACCATGTGAAAACTCATCAGCTCCTAACGAGAATTTAACTAACCTCCAAGACAATCAAGAGGTCTAACTTTGACACAAACAATCACAAAAAAACGCAGAAAAAACAAGCGTACTCTTTTTGTTTTAATAACCGCGTCCTTAATGTCCCCCTTCGACATTAAGATACAGCTGGTTGACAGCGGATATATTGAGGGACATATTTGATAGCGATCAGATAGACCACAGAGGGCATTATCACATTATCCTAATACGTCTGGAACTGATTACCATTAGCAGGGAACTGGCAGGAGCTGGGAACCATCTGTTAGAGTGATACGGAGAGGGACTGCCAAGCCACAGAATCAAGGCCCAGACCAAAAACAGAATGTGCTAACACTCTAGAATCCTCCAAAGGTTCCACTACACATTAGCCAAGTCACTAGCACTCACATCAAGGTCTGAGTCTTGCAGGCATGCCAGTAGGCTTCTGCTAAAGCAGATGCGCTTAACTTATGCTAAGACGCAAATATGTGTGAGGGGAATGCATTAAAGTAATGTAAAAATATGCTCATTTCTGAGTCTGAGCGGATGTGTTTAAGTTACGCTAAGTTGCAAACATTTGAGTGGATGCGTATAGTCTCTGAGTCATTCTATATGCATTACATTCATACTAAGATGCAAATGCATTTAAGGGAATACATTTCAGTCATGCCAAGACGTTAATATTTTATTTAAACGCATGATAAGATGCAGCTTATTTTGAGTGGACGCATTGCACCGCAGTAAATACATGCCAAGTGGCGGAGTATTTAAGCCATACTGTCAAATATCTGAGTGACTTGGACTGAATGTAAACATGCAATGATGCTGATAATATGAGTGGTTGTAAAGACAAATACTGCGTGATTATGACAATAGCGTTCAAATCCTATAGCCTCAATTAAAACATTATATCAGACCTAATGTATGATTTACTATGTGTATGTTACTATATCGTCTACCTGTTTCTCTTCTGTCCCAGGACATCCAGTATACTGACATTGACTATATGGAAGAGAAGAAGGACTTCACTTATGATGCGGTCAAATTCAGAGACCTCCCTCAGTTCGCTGATTACGTGCACGAGAAGGGACAGAAGTACATTCTCATATCAGTGAGAAACACACGTTGATTTGTTTGACTCGTTTTTGACAACATTATGTTGGTTCTAAGTTAGGCTATGTCATTACAAGATCCAGCTTTGAATGAAACAATATTCACATGCCTCGGGAAAACTGCACTTAATGAAAAAACGCACCCATTTCAATAGTAGCGGGAATCTTGTAACTTTGCTATTATTTATACAAGTTGAAGTCGCCTCATCCACGGGAAAGGTGATGCGTTGCATTGAAAATGTGCACTTTTCGCCGCATAAAGGGAAAAATGCAGTCGTCAATGATTCATCCTGTGCCTAGGCCTATTGGAAATCATCTTCCTTCCTGTGCCTAGACCTATTGGAAATCATCTTCCTTCCTGTGCCTAGACCTGAGAAACGATAGCCTACCCTATGACAAAATGTGATGCACACGCCATCCGATTGTTTCTCACACATCAAAGATCATTCCCTCTATAATAGGCTTTCGTTAGATGTTTTGATAGAGTTTAGTGCAGTTTTGCCAAAGAAAATGCTGCCCCTGATTGGAAAGTGACTGTATAAAGAACATCATGTAAAAGGATGGGTCATTACCCACCAGTTAGAAGATCAACGGGGCGTGACCGACCGAGGAACACAGAAGGATGCCTGGGTCACTGAGGCTGATGGAGAGACTCATCTGCTGGGAGAGGTACTGTAGGTGGGAAGGAGATACCTAGTCAGTTGCACAACTGAATGCATTCAACTGAAATGTGTCTTCTGCATTTAACCCAACCCCTCTGAATTGACATCCACGTAGCAGTTGTTGTTTAAGTGCCTTGCTCAAGGGCAGAACGGCAGATGTTTTACCTTGCTGGCTTGGGGATTCGAACCAGCAACCGTTCAGTTACTGGCCCAACGCTCTTAACCGCTGGGCTACCTGCCACCCATGGTGGTGGTGATGGTAGTACTGGTGGTGGTACTGGTGGTGGTGATGGTGGAGGTGGTGGTGTTGGTGGTAGTGATGGTGGATGTGGTGGTGGTGGTGGTGGTGGTGGTAGTGGTGTTGGTAGTGGTGTTGGTGGTTGTGGTTGTGGTGGTGGTGGAGGTGGTGGTGCTGGTGGTGGTGGTGGTGGAGGTGATGGTGTGTGAGTGCGTCCGTGCGTGCATGCATGTGAGAGAGGTAGACTGATCAATCCCATTGTCTAGGCTATGTGTGCGGAGAGAGAGAGAGAGAGAGAGAGAGAGAGAGAGAGAGAGAGAGAGAGAGAGAGAGAGAGAGAGAGAGAGAGAGAGAGAAGAGAGAGACAGAAACAAAGATAAGCCACATATCTCATGGGTTAAGTCATTATTTTTTACCCAAACGATTAAGCCTGGCCCAGTGCTAATCACTTTTTTTCTGGTTTTATATCAGGTCAAACATACGCATTGATTCTACATTAGTGTTTAATCTCAAACTGTTCTGCATCACAGCCTGTGTGCTCCAAGTGTTAGCACAGACTGTGCTTACTTACACCGTGTGTGTGTGTGTGTGTGTGTGTGTGTGTGTGTGTGTGTGTGTGTGTGTGTGTGTGTGTGTGTGTGTGTGTGTGTGTGTGTGTGTGCGTGTGTGTGTGTGCGTGTGTGTGTGTGTGTGTGCGTGTGTGTTTGTGTGTGTATGTGTCTTTGTGTTTGTGTGTGTGTGTTCTGTCTCACTGAGTGTGCTTTTAAAAACAATAGAGACAGCCGATGAGTAATGGTCCAGATGGCGGGATGCAAGCCATATTGGAGCATGCAAGGACATGCAGGTCTTTATTATCGCATTAAGGGTTAAGGGCTGGTGTAGATAATATATATATATATATATATATATATATATATATATATATATATATATATTATGGCATTAAGGGTTAAGGACTGGTGTAGATAAGATATTTATTATGGCATTAAGGGTTAATGGCTGGTGTACAGTCATGGTCAAAAGTTTTGAGAATGACACAAGTATTGGTCTTCACAAAGTTCGCTGCTTCAGTGTTATGAGATATTTTTGTCAGATGTTACTATGGTATATTTTGTTTGTCCACCCGCCTCTTGAGGATCGACCACAAATTCTCAATGGGATTAAGGTCTGGGGAGTTTCCTGGCCATGGACCCAAAATGTCAATGTTTTGTTCCCCGAGCCACTTAGTTATCACTTTTGCCTTATAGCAAGGTGCTCCATCATGCTGGAAAAGGCATTGGTCATCACCAAACTGTTCTTGGATGGTTGGGAGAAGTTGCTCTCGGAGGATGTGTTGGTACCATTCTTTATTCTTGGCTGTGTTCTTAGGCAAAATTGTGAGTGAGCCCACTCCCTTGGCTGAGAAGCAACCCCACACATGAATGGTCTCAGGATGCTTTACTGTTGGCATGACACAGGACTGATGGTAGCGCTCACCTTGTCTTCTCCGGACAATGTGTTTTCTGGATGCCCCAAACAATCGGAAAGGGGATTCATCAGAGAAAATGACTTTATCCCAGTCCTCAGCAGTCCAATACCTGTACCTTTTGCAGAAAATCAGTCTGTCCCTGATATTTAATCCTGGAGAGAAGTGGCTTCTTTGCTGCCCTTCTTGACACCAGGCCATCCTCCAAAAGTATTCGCCTCACTGTGCGTGCAGATGCACTCACACTTGCCTGCTGCCATTCCTGAGCAAACTCTGCACCGGTGGTGCCCCGATCCCGCAGCTGAATCAACTTTAGGAGACGGTCCTGGCGCTTGCTGGACCTTTTTGGGCGCCCTGACGCCTTCTTCACAACAATTGAACCTCTCTCCTCGAAGTTCTTGATGATCCGAGAAATGGTTGATTTAGGTGCAATCTTAATAGCAGCAATATCCTTGCCTGTGAAGCCCTTTTGTGCAAAGCACAAGAAGAACAATGATTTCAAGCACCACCCTCCTTTTAAAGCAATCAGCATGACAGAGTGATCTCCAGCCTTGTCCTCGTCAACACTCTCACCTGTGTTAATGAGAGAATCGCTGACATAATGGCAGCTGGTCCTTTTGTGGCAGGGCATAAATGCAGTGGAAATGTTTTTTGGGGATTAAGTTCATTTTCATGGCAAAGAGGGACTTTGCAATTAATTGCAATTCATCTGATCACTCTTCATGACATTCTGGAGTATATGCAAATTGCCATCATCAAAACTGAGGCAGCAGACTTTGTGAAAATTTGTATTTGTGTCATTCTCAAAATGTTTGACCACGACTGTAGATAACGACCACAGTCTGCTCTGGATGCCTGCATAACTGTAGGATGGTGTTGGCTGGAGAGGGTTACTAAGATCCCACATGTACAAACACCTGTTACATGTTTTTTAATATTGAATGGTTATCGATAAACTTGAAAGTTGAAAAAACGGATTAAAGAGTGTGTTTGGGAAGTTAGAAGAGGTGGGTGGAGAATATAATGACATTAGGGGAGAATTTGAGAGCGGGAACAGACAGAATAGGGGGAGAGGTAATGGACAGGGAGAGAGAATGGAGAGAGAAAGATGGAGGGAGAGAGAACGGAGAGAGAAAGATGGAGGGAGAGAGAGAAAGAAATATGGTGTGTGTATGTGTGTGTGTGTTTATGTGAATGTGTGTGAAAATGATTCATATTCTATTTCTGCTAGTGGTTGTTAGCGGTGGGATAAAAGCTAGGTAGTTTTTTACTGAGGGGAGAAACCTTTATAATAATAATAATAATAATATGCCATTTAGCAGACGCTTTTATCCAAAGCGACTCACTTACTCTGTAACCCTGTCATACAAGATCAGCCCAGACCTCAACCTAACCTACAAACACACACATAACTACAAACACACACACACACGTGCACACACAGCTACAAACACACACACACGCATATGCAATTGAAAAATGTCTCTCTCTCCTTCAACCCCCCCCCCCCCCCCCCCCCCCGCCCCCCCTTCCTCTGAGGATTAATCATTGCTCTCTGTGCATGTCATTAGCAATGGCTTCAAACACACAGTCACTCTGGCGATTTATATTGCATTATTGATTGATGCTCTCCTCCTTTCTCCTCCCCTCACTCTCCTCTGTCCTTCTCTCCCCTCTAAACATTGTCCTCCTCTCATTCCTACCATCCTTTCTCCTTCTCCCGTCCTACCCTCTCTCTTTCTCTGCATGGCCTTTGCTCCGCTTCTCCCCCTTTCTCTAGGTCTACATCTCCTGAGTCTTTCTCTCCTCTCTTCTCTCTCTCTAGGTCTGGCCAGTTGAGACAAACTACACTAACCGCAGCTGTACAGAGTGGTGGGCTGAGAAGTATGTCAGGTTCTCAAAGGAAACGTGATGCTCTGTGGAGTGTAAGTCTGTTCTACTAATGTTTGATTGTACTATATTTATTTTCATCATCAGTTAATGTAGTCCTTCAAAACCCAAGTCTGACATACACATCCACACATCCCAACTCTGTATTCTATCTGACAGGATATGAATGAGGTCGCCAACTTCAAGAAAGGCTCCAACTACCCTCCCTTCACTCCTAATAATGCTGTTTATTAACCCTCAACTACCCTCCCTTCACTCCTAGTAATGCTGTTTATTAACCCTCAACTACCCTCCCTTCACTCCTAGTAAGACTGTTTATTAACCCTCAACTACCCTCCCTTCACTCCTAGTAAGACTGTTTATTAACCCTCAACTACCCTCCCTTCACTCCTAGTAATGCTGTTTATTAACCCTCAACTACCCTCCCTTCACTCCTAGTAATGCTGTTTATTAACCCTCAACTACCCTCCCTTCACTCCTAGTAAGACTGTTTATTAACCCTCAACTACCCTCCCTTCACTCCTAGTAAGACTGTTTATTAACCCTCAACTACCCTCCCTTCACTCCTAATAATGCTGTTTATTAACCCTCAACTACCCTCCCTTCACTCCTAGTAATGCTGTTTATTAACCCTCAACTACCCTCCCTTCACTCCTAGTAAGACTGTTTATTAACCCTCAACTACCCTCCCTTCACTCCTAGTAAGACTGTTTATAACCCTCAACTACCCTCCCTTCACTCCTAGTAATGCTGTTTATTAAC